CCCCCACCAAGAAAGACAACACCACGGGCCCAGACTCATCTCTGCCGTCTCGGCGCACTGCCACCAATGTTTCCCCTCTCCCTGCTTTATGATCACAAGTATTCCAGAGGCGGACGAGAGCACCGCGGCGCATAGGAACGGCGCGCGGCTCATAACCCCGAGGTCCGAGGATCGAAATCTCCTGATGCCATCAGTCGAGGTGCAGGTTGTGGGCAGCGTACCTTTTGCGGTTACATTTTTATTGGAAAGGCAGTGTTAGCAAGTCAGAACCGAGGATGTGATGAGTCCGCGCGAAATTCCAATGGAACGGCGGGGCAATGGGTTTTATTGAAGTGATAGGCAGGAGAGAACCTTTCACGGTCCACCGATCGCCAGCCGATCGCCTTCGGTTGCCGCCGCTCTTTGCTGGATTTTCGGTCCCTTCATGGAGTCGTTGACGGGATTTGCTTCTTCCCCTATGTTGGACAGTCGCCATGCCCAGACCCCATTCCTGGCCTCCAATCCTGGCCTCCCCACTCGAAAGATGCTGAAATATCTTCAACTAACCCTTTTCCACATTTTGCGATTCAGCTTCAACCCCATTCCATCTTCCATTCTTACTGCATCCTGTAGATTGTGAAGTCGAAGTCTGGCGCGGTCATCAGCCCCCTGCACTTGTTTGTTTTTTTCTTTGAATGAATATGTCGACTCCTTTCGTTTTCATGACTTTGGTTTGAGTTTTCAGACCGTCTTTGGTTCTCCTTTTTCGCGCGAACCCTAACAGAGTATCCCACATTCTACCCGCATTCCTTGATCTCCGCACCGGTTCAAGGGCTGAGGAGGGGGTCGGGCAACTGATCATTTCCCTTGTTTCAATGATGCGTCTGTCCTCACTTTTTCCTGGACCCCTCCCTTTCCCTGGACTGGAGGTGTCTGAGCTTACATGGATGTTCCTCACAAACCCTAGTTACGGCATCCCCACATGCAGAGTCTCCCTTCGACTGACCATCTGCACGCCTCCCCGTCCCCCACTGATCGCGACACCAAAGTTCGCCCGGTCACCACTTTACTGGACGCAATCGCTGTGTTTCTTTGAATAAATTCGGCACCTCTTCCTTTTTGATTCTTCGGACTTCTTCTCCGACCTCTTTTGCTTGTCCTTTTTTCATCATTTTTCAAGCCAGACTGTGGCAGCCATGGACGCAACCTTTGGCCCGCCTCTCAATCAGCCGGGTAAGGCGGTGCCATGAAAATACTATCGAAATGGTGTCGAAATGGGTTCCCCTTGGAAGATGACAAATCTTAAGAAACCCGTCTCTAGAGCATCATAATGGTTTGCTCGGGATCGAACCACTGTTTAAGCGGAGACCAACCGCACTGGGTGTGTCGGAAAGCTGTGATGGCCGGATCCCTAGACCACTTTCTCCCCCACCGGGTATGCCCCCACCCCCCCAGCCAAAAAAGACAAGGCCATGGTCACAGACCCGTCGCTGCAATCTCCGCAGTCTGCGATCGTTGTTTCCCCTCTCATTGTTTCCGGTTCATCAGCTGATTGCACTGAAGGAAGGAGCGGAGCACCATCGCGCAGAGGAAGCGCGCGGGGCTCATAACCCCGATGCCCGAGGACCGGAACCTCGTGGTGATACTTATCACGGTAAGTCTCTTTCCACATGTCTTTTTGAGTTGCCTTTTTATTGGGAAGGCGTGGTAAGTAGGTGGGAATCGAGGAAGCGGCAGACCCAATCTCCTGGCCCATCGCACGAAATCCCTGGCACTGGCAATGGATGGAACGGCAGGGCGATGTGGTTCATTGAAGTGATGGGGAGGAGAACACGGCCCACTGATCGCATTCGGTCGCGGCTGCTCTTTGCTGGACTTTCAGCCCCATGCATGCGCTATCGACTGCACCTTCTCTTTGAAAGAGGAAAAATTCAAAAAGAAAACCTGATGGGACATGCATCTCACATATAGTGGTGTCCGGAACCGCCAGCCGCTGACCGTGTGTGTGTGTGATGGACAGCTGCCATGACCAGACCCTAATCCTGACCACCGCAATTGGAAGTCAATGAGGTATCGTCAACTGACCCTTTGGAACGACTTGCGATTCCGCTTCAACCGCATTCCATCATCCGTTCGTACTGCATCTTATAGATTGTGAAGTCAAAGTCTGACCCAGTCGATAGTCCCCTGCATCTTTTCGTTTTCTTTTTTGGATGAATTCGTCGACCCCTTTCGTTTTCCTTTCTTTGGTAGGGGTTCTCCGACCGTCTTTGCTTTTCCTTTAATCTATGACCGCGAACAGTATATTCCACGTCCATCCCGGATTTCTTGATCTCTGCACCGCCGACGAGGGGGTCGGGCGGCTGGTGCTTTTGATTCGTCTGTTCTCACTTTCTTCTTCCCTCCCTTTCCCTGGACTGGTGGTGTCTGAGCTCACTGCCACTGACGTTCCTCATGAAATATTCAAGACTCGGAGGTCAACCAAATATTCACAAGATCGGCGGATGATCGTAGCGACGGATACGATTCGCGGTACTCTGGCTCTTCGGCACTTTCCCCTACTGCCTGCTGATGCGGTACCTTGGGAGCTTTGAAAAGCGACGGCGATTTCCAACAAGGAAAGCTTCCACTCTGACTCAAAAATGTGTACCCCACAGAACCGGATGCCGCAAAAAAAAAAAAAAAAAAAAAAAAATGGACACTATGTACAGCGAGCGTTTTTCGATTTCGTACCCGGGCCTACATAATCACATCCGACACTCCCACCCTCCCCATCCGAGCCAGCGCACACTCTCAAGCGTATCTCTCGAAACTCCGATCCGACATGATATCCAGCCCGGCGGTCACGAAGGCAACATCGAGCCGTCCAGGGGCCTGTGGCCGCGGGGAGAGGGTGGTGCAGAGGCGGTAAGGCCTACCAACCGCGCCGTCCGGGGGGCCGACCTCATAGCCGTTGTAAGACTCCACGCAGAGGATGACGTAGCGGAGTCGTGGGCATCCCGTCGTCAGCTTCTCGAGGGCCGCAACGATCTCGGCGGAAAGACGAGGGGTGCGGTCTCCTCCGGCGCGTTGGTTCCAGCAGGAGGCCGTGCTAGTGACGGTGACGGCCTCAAGGAGGGGCGTGTGGCAGACGAGGTCGGGTAGGCTTTCGAGGGGAATGCCGCGGTTGAGGTTGAGCACGCGCAGATCCGACCCCTTGTGGGAGAGGTATTCAACGAGGTGGACCAGGTGGTCGATGGGGTTATGGGTTGAATGAAGGTACAGGTGGGTCAGGCAACCATGAGAGCAGAGAGCGCGGTAGACACTTCTCAGTTCGGGGCTCGAAATGTCGGGTGGGGAGAGCTCCTTGATCGACAGGAAGTGCGCCATGAGGCGGTCGAAGTACGAGGGGAGGATCTTGAGCACGAGGCGGCGCAGGCAGTCGCCGACTTTATTCGCTCGAGAAAGGGGATATCGCGGTCGCCATAGCAGTCCGGCCATACGAGGATTTGCATGGCCGGCAGCGTGTCAGCACCGGGGGAGCCGTTGAGCCTGAACTGCCATGGACTCCAGAACTCGATCCCAGGGCCGACCTCCCGATTGAGGAGACCGCCGAATCCCAGTCCGGGACAAGCGTCGCCCAGGTCCAAGTACCGGAGGCGGGCGACGCGATCGGCAATGGTCTGCACGGAGATGGACGCTCCGGAGTCGTGGTCGGCTAGCGGAACGTGGGTTTCGCTTCCCCTCTTCCAGCGGCTGGAGTCGATGCCCCGCATCCTCACCGCCACCAGCGGACAGTGCGCAAGACACGCGCCAACCAGCACACGCGTGCAGCTAGGAATATCCACCATCTGCAGCCTAGGCATCTCCCGTGCGAACATAATGGCGGGCCCCGCCTCCAACTCCTTCACAACCACAGTGGCGGTGCCTACATCCAACTCCTTCACAACCTCCCACGAGAGGAAAGCCAGTCTCAAACACCGTATCATTGCGCCCAACCTCGCCCGCCCGCTGCTCGCGATGAACTGCATGAACTCTCTTGGGCGACGAGAAGCACACCCGCCTTCACAGCATTTCCGTCGCGGCGCCTGACCAAATGCGAGACACGTGGGAACAAGACAGGAGGTCCTTGCGGACCTCCTCCCCGTAGAATATCTTCTCGCCGGGGTGGTCCTCGTAGCATCGGAAGCGAAGGATCGCTTGGACGGTCTCGACGGGGAGGCGGGGACCGAAGCGACGGGGTGCCTGCGCTGCCGCCTCCATTAAGATGGCGCAATAGGTGGCGACGCTGATCTTTGACGGCTCCGCGTTGAAGATGGCGCGGACCGTGGAGACGGAGAAGACGTAGGAGGCCGGGAGGGAGGAGAGGGTGCGGTCGATAAGGCTCCTCGTGGATACGGGTTCGCCGAGCAACTCAAGGTTAGCGACCATCGTCTCCAGCTCCGCAATGTGCGGCGTGTCCGCGACGTCCTCCGAAATCCTCTGGGGAGAGTCAGCCTCAAGGAAGAGGGAGTCGTCGGCGGATCCGCCGAACATTTCGCGGAGCTTCGCCCAGATCAAGCACGGGGCATCTAGCATCTCCACTCGGCGGAGCACGGCAGGGGCGAGCGTTTCCGTCATAAGGCGCTTGACTCGAGCGAGGGATTTGGGGTCGGTTGACCAGGAGGAGGGGTCTTTGGGTAGGATGGGCGGGACCAGTGGGGAAGAGACTTGTGCGTGGGAGGGGGGGGGTGGGAGGGGACAAACGGGAGCGATAGTGCCGGGGAGGGAATCTACGGAGGAGAGAAAGGCATCGGACGCTCAAAGGACGACGACAAAGTCCACAGCCACCACGTACGGCTGGAATGCCCCCCCTCCCAGGAAGACCAGGCGCGTACCTTGGTTGTCTGGGCCATTAAACATCCCCTTGGCAACCGAACCAGTGTCGTGGGCAACCACCTTGCCGCACCACAGGCCTTCCCTTTCCAGGGTCGTCTTCATGTGGGCCTTCCAGATGGGAAACGGGCAAGAGCCGTGGAGACGGGGCCAGCGAGTGGAGTTTTGGGACGTCATTAAAGAAGTGGTAGTGAAGTGATATATTGTGGACTAGAGAGGAAGCTTGTGATTTGTGTACGAGGGTCGCAAGCTGAGGAGGAGCTGGAAAGCGGAAGGCGAAAAGAAGGAGGGGCCAGAAGGATGGTGGTGAACTGCCATTTATTGGGCCAGAATTACCAATCCAAATCGACCAGTCCGACTCGGAGGTTTCCGTCACTTGATAGGAAACCCGTGCTCATCCCGGTATCCTCGTACGACCCTATGAACTTACCAAGATTCCCACTTCAACGTCAACATCACAGGGTGGGCGAAATGGGGGCGGGTGGAGGGTATATCTGGAATCAGTTGGTAATTGGTAGGCGTGCCCTCGTGGGTTGTGAAGAAGCTCTTCAACTGGGACCCATGTGCTCGCCTGCCCTTTCTGCTCCAAACGCATTCCATTGCCAGTTAGCATAGATGCTGCAGATTTTGAAGCAAAAGAAGTAACGTTTGGCGGGTCAGCGTTCCCCTTACACACTCCTTCGGGGTTTTTTTTTTGGAAGAATTCGTTGACTCCTTGAGTTTTCTTTCTCTAGGTCGAGTCTCTTACCTTTTTCGAACACGAACGCACGGGAACATACTGGTGCCCATACATGCAAATACGGTGAGCTTCCACAAGTTAAACGGTCGACGATGAAGGACGGGGGGCAAAGGAGAGCGACACTCGAGTCAACGCAATCGCGTCACTTTCGGATGAATAATGAACGCGAGGGGGCTCGCGACGAGAGACGACCGTTGTCGACTCCTGCTCGCCGAATCGACAATGAGGCAGGCCGGCAGCCTCCACGTCATTGCTTACGGTTATATCGGGGTGAGAACTGACGATCACTCAATGACGACGAGCAATCCTCCCCAACGCCGGATCCCGCTATCTACCTCCGTGACGATAACTCCGAGAGAGAAGACGAGTAACAGCTGAATACCGGACACAAGGGCAAGGCAACCAAAAGAAGGATGTGCTCATTGAACACAGATGTCTCCCCCGCCACTTCACTGCCTCCTGCACATTATACACCACCAGCCAAAACTGTGTGAAAGGGGGTTGCGAGTGTTTGCTATTACATGTGAGCGTTAGTGGTTGAAGTGCATTGGACGAACAGGAGAGCCAAAAGAAGGAGGGGAGGGGAAGGGCGCAGTCAGAATGTATGGACTGCATCTACGTCTGCCGATTCAAGCGAACGGTGCTAAGAAATCGCCCCGCTCGAGCCTGATGCTCGGCGTCTTCTGGGATCTGGATCCTGTCCGCAGCTGGCGCCAAATGCGGAGCCGCCAGGGCGGTTTCGTTGAGGGGCGAAGCAGCGTCCGCCCGGCAGGTCGGGCATAGGGTTGAAACGGTTGTGAGCCACGGGCCGATGCACTTTGGAAGTGGGAAGAGGGCAGGACGGCCGGAGGGGGGGTAAGATATTGGAAGGCGAGGAAGAAACGTAAGCAGATGCCGTGATAGTTACCATTTCGATATCTACCGTTAGCCCCCCCCCCCCCCCCCCCCCCCCCCCGGCTCCGACGTCCGTGACAATACTCACCGATATACAAGACAAAAAGCCCAAAAGGCATTGACCCCTGCTGCGGGTCCGGCGGCGTCGGCGGCGGAAA